GAAATACAAATTAGATGGCCTGTCAGTTTGAAACCAGTAACCCCTCTGATCAATGGGAGTATTCTCCCCATGGAAAAGGGCTGAAACCCCAAGTATAAGCCCATCACATGACAATGAGACAAACCAAAATGACTGTTATTAAAAAGGAACCACCACCTATGGAATTATTTCCAGTCAACTGAAGGAAACCAGTGAGGTTTCACCTGGACCAGTATAACAGTAGTGTATCACCCAAGTCTGAGGTGGAACAGGGGATGGAGCACCTGGTCTGAAGTGACCTAAACTGGGCTTATTTTACTTTGACAAAAAGGTCAAAAAGAAACGTTAAGACTCACCTGCATTTATGCTGAATGGTAAAAAGGAAGGAGAGCAGAGACTGTTGAAGCAAGGACATAACTGACAGAAAACTGAGACATAAACTGCCCACAAATACATGTAGAGGATGTACTGGAATAATTTTCCCCAATTGGATTAAAAAAAAACAAACCCAAAGCAATAAGCCTCAGTATCTAATGAAAGGATTGATACAGTGACACCCAGGGTCTGCTCTTGGCGACTGAGAACTGCTGTATTATTGAATTACTGCATTTGGACTTAGACTACCAGAGAAGATTAGGTGTTTAATTTGTAATTATTAAGGATGTATAATGATTTGGGGGAATATTCCCCTACAGAGAATTTTAGTGCTAGCAGTGATGATTTCTTAAAAACAAATTGTTTTTTTAAAAAATAAAAGGTACCTGATCATACTACAAAACTGAGGAAATCCAAACTACTGCTGGTTGGTCAGTACTCAGGTATAGGACAGACTTATATCCCTGAAGCTGGTTTTTAGGAACAAAAGTCCAAGAGAAACTTCAGTTATTTTGATAGGTTTCAAATGAAATTATTCATGTTTATTATTTAAGTGAAATGGAACAAAACTTGATTAAAAGTAGCAAGTGTGTGCAACTTCCTGCAACTTTAAAATTCCATTTCTAATTATGTGTTGAGAAATACAATTAAAGTCATCTGCATACCAAAATAAATGTTATTTACAAATGAAATATTAGAATGCCTTTGTTTCCCTGATAGCTTGGCTCATTAAGCAAATTTAAATGGAGTCATTGATGCTTTGCAATAAAATGTTCACTGTCTGTTTCTAAATCAATGCTAATAACTTTCACTATTTTTATCACTGCAATTTTTCATGTCTCTGACATGTTATTCAGGATGTTTCATGGGAAGCACACCAAGAGAGGAGGTAGGGCTTGGTCTGAAGCCTGAGCCAGGAGAGGGTGAGCTGTGACCCAGCCAGGGTCCGGCAGCCAGGTGAGAAATTCATCATTGCACCAGCAAGTTTCACAACTTAGTTTTCATTTTAGAAGAAATTTTAAAACCTTTCACACTCTTCCACTGTATTGTGCTAGCAGTGTTTGCCTAGGTTTACTAAATATTATTTCAGTTACTTACTCTCCCAAAAGGCAACCATTATCCTAGGTATAAGTAGTAAGAACAAGCCTGCCTTTAGAGAAAAGGAACTGTCATAACAGCTCTTACTGTTTTACACATTCAAGCTGTGTTAAGAACACTTCTGTACTAAATTTCTTATTCTTTAGATTGACCTGATTAGACTGCAATTATTAAACTTAAAAAAAACAAACCAGCAAGGCCCCAAGAATTCATACTTGACTGCAATGATTTCCAAGTGCTCCAGCACTTATATTTTCTCTACTTTTGCATCTGTTGTATGACATTCCCGTACTGTCTCAACTCACAAGGGAATCATTGGATACAATATAAAGAAAGTATTTGTCCAGACCTGGGGGAGGCTGGTTAGTTCACCAGCAGGTTAGTTCACCAATTCATCTTCCTATTATCTTAAATTCCTGTCAGTTTATCTGTCATTTGGAAGATCAGGCTGCAGACATTGTAACACAGCACAACTACTTTCTGGTTTTCTTATTACAACAGTTAACTGGAAAACAACAAAAATACAGTAAAATTTAAATTTTTCTAGAGATCCAAACTGCCACAGGACCTTTCCAAATGTGGTGAAGTAGACTGAGCTTGTGGACAGTAAGGTAACATTTTCCTGATTCAAAAATACATGTAAGCTGCATAGTTTTGTGGAATATAATTTAAAGCTTGACCCCAGATCTGACACGCACTTGAAGATTCAATAATCACTTCAAACGCTCTCAAATATTTTATTTCAGCTTTCTAATAATCCTAACAATGGAAAACTTCATTTTTCACGTTCTACCTTCATGACATTCAGTCTGATTTATAAAACTAAGCTGTCAGTAAAGAAACAGAGAACACCACCAACTACTAGAAAACACTGAATTTCTCAGTAGTCAGATACAATATAGCAACAGAAATTAATTTTTTCTTTCGTAAGTTAAAGTTTTTTTCCCCTGAGAACATAGGTTGCATTGAAAGACCCATCAGAGACCCCAAACTCCGCAAACATATTTCACAAGGCTTTAAAAATCTGGTTAAGTTCTCCAAACAGAACACGTAGCCAGATGAACTGGCACACATAAAAGAACCACACATGCATGTTTCCTGGGAAAGGAAGACTAAACACTCCCTTCTGTAATTCAGTTCACAGTATCAGATGCCACAATACACAGAAGTGTTATGAAATTATTAGAAATCAACTGGACCACAGAGAGATTAAAACCAAATGCAGGAATATTACTTGAACTTCTAACCATAAAATATGAGGAATTAGAAGACACAGCTACGTGGCAGGGTGAGCTGATCTCAGAATTGACATTTTCAACAAAGATGATGGCTACGCCGAGGCGGGATCAGTGAGTCCGCTATGAAAGTTTAAAGAGAGAGCAAGACAGTTGCTTCATGAAGGAGTCACTATGTGTAAGAGCAATTAAGCAAGATTTCAGACTGTGCAGTTGAAGATGTCAGAGGTAACTGGGAGTCAGAGGGGACAACAGTCACTAAATGGAAAAGGGACTACACTCCTGCAGAAGATGTGCTCGGGAAAGGATTACAAGGCTGAAGTGAGAGCAGAGACACTGTGATTAGTTGATAGGTCCCCGCAGTCAGAGAGGCTCAAATGTAAACTGAGGTACTGGCGGCAATTCGATTTGATAGAGACTGATGAAGTAATTGAGATTCTGTTAAGACAAAGGTTGAGGAACTGGAGATGAGAAGATGAGAATACCCTCCTCTCCAGAACGAAATTTTAAATGTAACTAGTACAGTGGAAACAAATATGACACAGAACCACCTGAACAATCTTTTTTCCAAGAATCAGAACAGATTTTGACCCCATTCATTTTTTGTCTAACGTGCTTCTCATCCAGTCTCCTTAATTTTGTTTTTTAATTATAGCACTCCACTCTTAATTTCTCTAATTCTTTGTTTAAAATGAAAAAAAAAAAATCTCTTAGCTGATGAAGAAAGAAAGGCTTTCTTCTTGATACAAGAACACAGGTGTTGGTTGGGTAAAGCAGAATATTATATTCTTCAGTCTAAAGGCCATTTCTTTCTTGAATCATTTATTTTGCACATCTGAAATAGCTGGGAATACAGTTGAGGGCCTGGCTGCAGATGGTAACGGTGACAGGTATATCAAAAAGATGCAAGTGTAGATATGTGAGAAAAACATCAAACACGAAATAAAATCTATTCAAACAGGAGCTCTTAACAAATCTTTTATAATTACAAACCTTGTTTTCAGTATAAATAAATTCACTGCAAAAAGCACAGTAAAAACTGTTCAGAAAATGTTTCAATTTCAAAGCATTAAAAAAAAAATATTTAAAAAAAAAAAAATCAAAGTAAGCTCTGAGGTAACATCCAGAGGCCTGGGGTAAAGCTTTCTTTGAACACTTAGGGCAAAGGAGACTTGACAAAGTTGGAGGCATGGCAGATCTCAATTTGATACAGCTTGAGAGATTCTTCCCAGGGCTGAAGTCTAGAAAATTCAAAGACTTTCCCCACCCCCCTTTTAGCACACTTTTCTCTATTTTATCTGTCAGACCTCACAGTATTTAGTGGTCATCTATAACCTCAATGTCTACTGCAGTCTCTCACGTCGTGCAAAGAAATTACTTGTCTGTAAACTTCTAATTTTATTATGCATTTTCATTTCAGATGGTCAGAACGGAATTTTATATCTAAAACCAAGAGAAGAAAACCTGTATGTTGCTTTATTCAAGTAACCCACCCATTTAAAGAGATTAAATGCCATGCTGTCACCAGCAAAGAAAACCTGTGAGAGCACATAAAACACAAGCAGATTGCTCAAATCACTGACACTGCAATAGCAAACACCCTTCTCCTAGGGATGCCAAAGTCCCTTTACTCTAAAATGTGTGTTTACATCGTACTTGCACATCAAGTGTAATTTATCAGCCTTTTGTTTTTACATTTAATTTAAAAACCAGCCACTGCTGCTTTTACATTAATGTAGACATAAGGAAACACTGGAGATTATTCCTAAATGCAAATCCTGAGGAGGCTTCTCTTTAGCTAATTTAGTTCCTTGACTACATCACATGCCAGGAATATTATTTATTTTACTGCAGAATGCAAATGAAGAGATAATACTTATTTTTGAAACAAGTATTATTTTCACAACTGTCTCGATAGTTTTACGATCCACTCTGAAAGACCAAATATAAAACCAGTATTAATGTCAAGTCACTTGAGATAAATTTATTTGTCAAAGAGAAGATATTTTCCTTTTATTTTTTTAATTTGTTCAGTAGCAAACTTCTACTATAAGACGTGTTGTAATCTCAGTATCGTTATCTTTTAAAAATAATGACCCACAGTGTCCTTGTACAGAACAATGTTTTACATGTCACAGCACAAAAAGCAGAGAACAAATTAGCACAAAGAAATTTATCTCACAGAATAGAACTGCACGTATCTCATCGCGGTAGTGAGATTTAATGAACAACTACAGCAAGGCAACAGCTTATGTCTGTGAACTCTGAAACACTTTTTAAAAATGCGCATAATAACGAGCATCATTTACTTACAGTGTGTGACTCCAGCCAGGGTTTGGTAGAAGGTGGGGGTATCACTATCATCAGTGAGTGTCACATACACCCCTCCAGACAGCAGCCAGCGGGAAAACGTGAAAGCATCTTTGTTGTGCAATAGCCAAACCCTGAACTTCTCATAGTTTACCTTTTCACCCTGCAAGAAAAAATAAGAAAGTGTGAGCTGCTTTTCTCTGCTTTCTCAGTACCAGTAAACAGTAACCATCCAGCTGTATGAACAAGAATTGGGACAATCTCCTATAAAAATAAGCACTAAAATAATTTTTTTCTTTGGATCCATGCCTGTTTTTCCATTTCATTCTGAAATACAGCACTGGGAGGGAAATTAGACTCCTCAGCTCTCTCTGCATTTCAACCACCTACTCAGTGTGGCCTTTGGAAAGTAATTTACTCTGAACCTCAGGTTAAAGGGATTAGAAGAAAAATGGTTACTTACAACTCAGAATAACAGAGGTTATTTCTGTGAATTTAAATTTATTATGATAGAGAAAAGCTCTTATGTGCCAAATAACAGGTGCTATAAAATCATAAACATTCTGTGCAAGTATACAAACACTTTATACAGAAAAATCAGGTTTGTGAACAACTAATGGTATGATTAATCACTACGGTAGCATGTTAATTTTTTGCCTCTATCGATCAACGCCCACTTTGGAGCACACATGCAAACATGACAGGCACAGTATCTCCTAATTCAGTCTCTCCTGTTGGATGTTTTATGGAACTGCATGTTTGGGAATACATAAAAAACTATAGATTCAGAGTTTAAATGCTGGAGAGGCTGTTTAAACCATTTAGTTGAACGGTTTCCAAGCTGTGGCCATGAAAGCAGAGGGCTCAGCAGACTAATTGCAACAGGACTTACAAAACTAAAATAAAAGCAAACCTATTATCAGTAGACAAACTCATTATATGGAGATCCTCATCTCCATGGGAAATAAACAGGGGTCTGCAAAGTGAAAGAGGTTTCAAGTCATTGATTATTTTAACTGCTCTAATACCACAGACCATTAAGCTCCACTGAATTACACCTCTACAGAATCCAACAATTTGCATTTGGCCACGGACTATCTGCGACTGCCAATTGCAGAAAACTGAAAATCCACTACTTCCTTTGCCAGGTTGCTCAAATGGTTGATCACCATCACTGCTAAAACATCTGCTGCATATTCCAATTGTAAAGAATTATTTCTGGTTCCACGTACTCATTCTTTTTATGCCTCTTTTTCCTAGACTGAAGCGTGTTACATTTTCTTCCAACAAATACGTGCAGAAATTACCCCAATGCTTCCAGCTACTGTCATAGACTTCCACATGGTGATAATTCAAGGAAGTCAAGATGCTGCACTGCTATTCCATCAGCAGTTTAATCTGTATATATCCACGCTACTGACTGACAGCACGGTCCTAACCTTCCTCTTACCAACACTGCTTCTGATCCCTCATCCCTTCGCTTTTGTGACCGCAATCACATTAGTGCAGTCATGTGGCAAAACAGATCTAGCTGAAAAATAACCTACAGGATTAGGAGCTACAGAAAAAGGGCTTACTTCTCAGCCAGATCAGTTTTCCAATCCAGTTCATCAAGGCATCATATAAATACTTGAGCCAACACAAAGGTAGGAGGAATGAATGAATGACAGAAATAGGGTAACTCAACAACGTGGGCTTTGCAGGATTTAACCCGTTATGGAGTCACTTGCTTAAGCAAAATAACCCCTCTGCTGCCAAATTAACAGAGAAGCAAAAAGTAGCCCACTTTTTTTTTTTTTTTAATTTCTCTATCAGTTTGGATCAGAGACAAGATCCTTTTCTTACTGCCTGTTCCTCTCTACTTTCCCCCCACTTTTTGCCTGGCTTTCTGTAAGTGCAGCAAGAACTCTGTCACATTTCACTAAGACTCTGCATTGTTCCAACTGATTAGAGGAAGGGCAAGAAAGAAGAGAGACAGGAAATCTTCGAACGGGGGGGGAAAAAAACCATTTGAAGCAAGTAATGTTATAGCTAAACCATCAGGGAACTTGAGCAACTACAGCAATACAGGTACCGCTGGGTTCGTTTCCTGTATTTCAGAAGAGTGAGGAAAGCTCAGATGTATTTTAAAGCTTGTATTTCTAGATGAGTACATGCAATAATTCTGAAGAATAGAAGTACCTATAAACATCATCCTTGAAAGCATAAACTCATCCGCCATACGGCAGGAAGGCAGGCCCACAGCAGGAACATTAAACTTTCTCACTCTCCAGCAATGACCTAGTATGATTAACAGGCCAGTAAATCCTGCTGAGTGGGTTATTACGCTATTTTCATTTTAAAAGAAAAATCAATATACTGCATTTTCTTGAACAGGAAAATGGTATGAAGCCAGATTGATACTTCTCTTACTGCAAGTCTTCATGAAGTATTTCTGGATTTCTTGGACAGCGTGCAATTAACTTCTAGGGTGTAATTCATCACACCATATTGATGGGAAATTATAAATAGGAAATACCGAAGTCGGTCAGCTCCAGAAACTGGACTGCAGTACACATGTGATTTATGATTCCAGCCAAGAGCGAAGAATGTAATCATTGCCTACAAAGCCAACATGATACCACCACCAGATTAAATGAGTCTGCCTCAGCCAATGCCCATAACCAAAGTTACCTTCAATACAGTACAATAAAATTTAAGGTAAGTAATCTGATATCCACAAATAAAGCTTCTAGTCAATTGGTTTTCCAGTGGAATGTACAATGATGACTAGATTTTGCTGATCTATAGTCCTCCGATAACAAATGAAGCAACCAAAGCACAAAACCTGGGCAATTCACCAGGATCACTAGTGCCACAGAAGTACCTGTGAATATTTAAAAGTAACAACAGCCTGTTTCAGAGGAGGACTTCATCAAACTTCATAAACATTACAACTCTCAACCTAAAGCAGAAATAAATGTTATAACTCCTGGCAGGCACAGTGAGACAAAAATAATACTATAAAACTATTATTTTTAAGCAATTACTGGATGCAGTTTTCTTTTCCCCTTTCAGATCTGTGTTCTAGATTCCTTCCCTGATTGCAATAAAATGTCCACACTAATGAATACATTTCCACTAGCAATATTAGTATTTAAATTTACTTGATAACATGATTACCCTTGGGAAATTATATCTTTCAAACTAGCACAGTAAGTAAGCAGCATGGAGAATGCCTACATTTATATACCGAGCTGCTATTCACATCAACACAAATTACAGGTAATATTACAGCACAAAAAACTATGAGCTTTTACCCAATTTAAACGAGGCCAATTTGTTACCATACATGCACGAGCATGTACACGTCAGAGAAAAAACAAACTACCCGATATAATTTTCGCTTTGTCGTAAATGCAATAGGATAAAACCTGGAGGAAAGAAATACCTCAGAGAAACATTTCTTGAGTGATTCTGGGACTTTCCCATCAACAACATGCAGCATCTTCTCCATCTCTTCACGGACAACATAACTCCCAGATTCATTAGAAAAGAGACTGAAAATGTCTGAGGAAGTAGAGATATGTTTAAGCAACTATGTCAGTGACAGTTTTCAAATGTTAAATTTACAACTGGCTGAGAATGCCAAAGGCTGCGCAACAACTAAAGGACTAAAAACTTAAGCTGATTCATTTTCAACATAATAAGGTTTAGGTCAAGAAGTATCTCCATTTTCTTTTACCACTGTCCACTAATCAAAAGGAAAATAAATACTATCAAGTCAGATTAACAGGGAAGACAAAACAACAGAAGTCAGTAGGCAGATGCTTTCGTTTGTTTTGAAAAATATCAATGTTGTCCTCCTTCCTCTGCCCACATAGAGCAATCAACAGTCCTTCTGTAGGATCCTAACATTTACAGTCATGACGACTTATCAAATATTTCATTTTGGTGAATATAGAAAACAAAAATACACTGAATTTTAAAGTACACAGCTTAAAATGTCTGGAAAAAGACTGTCTTTACTGGCAAATGTATGCCCTGATTAAATATAAAAATACAGACTTCGTATATCACAACTGATGTTTGCTTTACACAAGTGTACTTCACACTCACTATTCACTATCCTGTTGTTCCTGTTTAAGTTACATTACTTACATTTTGCTTTCTCTTCCTCTCTGCCTCTTGTAAGTAGAACTAACCCGACTATCAAGTTATTGAAGTGCAGCCCTTTGGATATTCCTCCAAATGAACAGTAGATAACCTAGAAGAATAAAACAGAGAATTTAACCAAAAAGTTAACTGGGAGAACAGAAATGTCAGAGCTAAAAACAACAACATGTACTGAGGCTCCGTCTTATGTGGTTTTTAGGCCAGTCCCCTCTCATTCAGTTAAACACCCTTCTATATTAATTCCCTTACACTTTTGTAGCTCTTACAGTATCTATAAAAAAGCCCTCCAGGGTATTTTATTTAGTGAAACAGGTACTTTTCACAAACAGCAATATAAAAAAAAAAATAATCAGAATCGTCCAATGAAGACAGCTTCTTGCTTGCTCACTGTTGCTACTTCCCCAGATTTCTTTATCAAGGTAATAAAGATGAAATCTCCTCCAGACTAAGTTTTGATAGTCTCAAAGCCATTAAGAGGTTGTTGGAGCATCAAGTGTTTCATTGCCCCAATCACAGGAGATGCGCTTCCAGTAAGCCATCAAAAACTACTGCTGCAAAAAGATGCGACACACACAAAAAACTTCCCATCAACAACACCTCAAATATCTTAACACCGCAACTGCTGCTTGAATGAGCGTTCCAGTTTAGCACCCCGCTCACCCTAACAATAGCATTTAAACCTTTCTTCCAATAGTAAGCACTAGGAATGAAGACTTGCGTTCAGAAGTTACTCAAAGATCTGTGGAGCGGGCACCGGGAGCAACGCAGTCGATGGAGGGGCTGGAGCATTTACATTTTACATGGAAACTCTGTACACTGCAACTTAATTTACTCAACAGCATCTTAACAGTGATTCAACACGGATATATGAGATACGAAGTCAGTCATTTTAGGACAAACAGCAACGACTTTCAGTAAATGAGAACTACCAACTCACTTATTACAATATATTACTTCACCTTGCCCCTAATACAAGAGAGCACAAATGAAAGGACGCGTGCTGTACTGCTCTTCAAACATGGGACTCCTCCTGTAACCCCAAATCTACTCCTGCAAGCACCAGTACTTTATCGGTATCACAAGACAGAAATCTGCATTAGATATTAGAATTTAAAGCAGTCAGAACTTATCAATTATTCTTACAGAGAAGAATTATTTCGGTGTCTATAATTCGATTTTCTTATAGGTATCACACGGAGTGTTTAAGCATAAAGAGAAAGTATTAAGTCTAGCTGATGGGGAACTATTACTGTGAAAGACCAGAACAAAGTGATTTGTCACTGATCATGGTTTGGATCACAGACTTATTTGCTGAACCTGTTTTTTAAATTTAACTTTTTCAGAGGTAAAGATAAAGGAACTGAGATCAACATCTATAAAGAAAAGTGATCCGTACATTTAAAATAGTATTTTCTTTACTTACATCTGAATTACATTCTAAATAAATAATCTTAAAACCAGGAGGTGTACACACCAGTTACGTATTAATTTTCCATTTTTCTCCAGTAAAGCCTTGAGTATCTTTTTTAGATGAGAATTTAGCCAAATAGCAACAGCAAACTTCAGAGGTCAGCAGAGCTTCAGAATTATTGTGGTCAGATTCACTATTTTGTGTATTAGTCACAAAGTAAATCATTAGTAAATCATGGGATAAAACCCACAGATCTTAAATGCAATACCTGTATCCCTCCCCCCTGTCTTTTGTTAGTTTTTAAACATATCAACTACAAACAAACACAGTTCTAAACAGCTAAAACAACATTTTAAACTTTTGTTGACTTCCTAAACTCTGGGGGGGGTTTCCCCTTTGAAACTACAAATGCTTGCATAATGAATTTTAGCGTTTTTTGCAAGCCTACCAAAGAAGCCATGACACCTTAGGGGCCCACAAAAATCCACCAATTTAGAGAATTAAAACACTTTTAATTTTTTTTTAAATTTCCATCGTAACCATCAGGAAACATTTACACTCATGGATGATTAGAAAACAACTGTGAGAGATGCTATGTGTGACTGGAGTGACACTTGTCTTCTAGACTATCAGCAGTTCTGGAAAAAACACATGTCACTGACATTATCTTAAGTGTGTGACATCCTGTAAATCTACTCAACAAGTCAGATTTTTAAACACATCAAAACAACCAACTTTTAAACTATCATTAAAAAAAAAAAAATCACTACAAGGGTGTACAAATCCTTATATTAATTAGGATTTCAGTTCAAAGTTGGTACAGCACAAAAATCTACCACTGTACGACGACCTCCCACAAATAGCAGAATTAAGGTCATAAACCTACTAGATGCATCCAGTGAACACTCCAGTATAATAAATTTATCTTTGAAGAAAACACAGAAATAATTCTAAACCAGATTTTTAAAAAATGAATCAAAACTACATTTGATTAGAATCTTGCCTGTCTCTCTGCAGACACATACAGCCTAATTTTTATTTTTTTTATTTTTTTTTAAAAGTACTTCCCATCTTCTGCCCCTCAACACTGTAGTCTCATTGCTGGTTTACACCAGTGCTAACCATTCCCCTGCCCCAACAACTCACTCCCACCCACACTCCAGTTCCTACATCTATGCCAAAAGCAGCATTCATGTCGCAGGACTATGAATGAAATCAGGGAACCAACCTGGGTTTGAATTAATCATTTCTGTTATCAGGTTTCACTAATCCAGTTTGAAGCGAGTGATCTCAGGGTGAGAGTAAGCAGCCTAGAATGAAGCTGAGTGTGAAACTGGCACGAAATAACTACATAAATGATATTTCAAATATTACAAGAGACCTTTCCTATGCTGCCACAACTACGTAGGACATTCTGTGTAAAGGAGCATCATCTATTGTCAGTTGTGCCCTTCAAAGGAGTCAGACAGCACAATGAAGCACAATAAGGAGAAAACCAATTCTCAACAGGCTGAAACCCCTTTGCAAAAGTCTCCCAAAATAAGAACCCAAAAAGTTACCATCTCACTGACACAGGTCTAACACGCCAGGAAATTGTTTTACCAAAGACCTGACCAACTGTCAAGCTGTAAGCGAAGAAATCCGCAAAGTACATCAGAAGAATATGCACCTTTCACACCGATAAAGCAAAACGTAACAAAATTTGTTGCCAAAAGATTTATTTACCTTAAAACAAATAGCTGAGCACTGGAAAGAGATGCAAGAGAAAATAAAATCTTCCCGCGTTGTTAAAAAGAACAGCTTCTGAGGTCATCTGCTGACCACTATTTGTTATTAATAACAAAAATTTTAGCTTCCTTAGTGGTTTAATCACTTAATGTTTCATAATAAATTACTTGTAAATCACACAGTAAAAGTAATCTGACACTTTTCAGAGACAGTTCTGAGTAAAGATGGAAACAAACTGGCAGCAGCTACAGGAAACTCTAAATAGGTGCAATAGGATCACTGTGAGACTTTGAACCTGTAGTTTTTCCTATTAAAAAAAAAAAAAAAAGGGAGAAGAAATCGGCTGAAAATTCCCAAAGAATATATTATATGCCTGCTGACTTCCACATCTGCAGAGGCTGGCTGGCTACAGAGTCTCTTGAGGGTAATGGTGTGGGGCTCAAAAAAGGAGCTTCAGAATCATCTGATGACAGAGCTCAGACAGTATCTCAGCCTAAACGAGTTGGGATTATACAAGAAGTTCATACGTGGAACAAGAAGAAAGTTACTGGAAGCAAAAGCCCTCTTTCTACCCCCTCCTTCCCCTCCAGTAACAGCAGTCAGTGCTACAGGCAGAATCCTCAAGCACAAGGAAAGGTGGAAGAGAAGGGTTCAGTACCAGAAGGGAGTGAATGACTCTCTCGGGTAGGGTTTCCATATCAAGTAAAAATTAAGCCAGGACTGGGAGTGACCAAACAAAACCAGCCATGGGGCTGTCAAGGGCGCTGGTTTTAGATTTGGCTAAGCCACATAGTGCTACAGTAGCAAAAAGAAGAAAAGGAAATACCCAAGACTGGCTACATTAGATTTCCCACAGCAGCTGCCCTTTGTTTTGTGTGTAACAAGGTGTGGAAAAATCTACCACTGTTGCCTCTCCAGCAAAAGGAAGACGACTGGCAGAATTCATCTGCAGATTATGCTTTACACCTCCAGCAAAGCATCAGGCAACAAGGTAGTAAAAATTCTAAAATTTTGTTCACCACTCTACCCCCGTTCTTCCCAGCCATAATGCTGAGGCGGATTCCCTGAAGACACCTACCTCGCTATGTTGTGTTACCTTCAGTAAACCCCCTCCTTGTCCACCCATCAAGCTATCTCTTCTCACTGCTCTCCGCTTAAAACTATTAAAAGATATCTGAAGGCAAGTATGAAATGTAAATGAGGCTGATCACACAGACAGATCTAATTCGACAGAAAACGTTATGTGGAACTGGCAGTTTCACGCCACTGTAAGACACAGCGCTACCCAAACACATTAACTTCCCATTGGGTGCCCAGATCATCCTCTTCTATTACTGAGCTTTAATCCATTTACAAGTGCTTGAAGGGCTAAATTATTAAAACTTTGTGCTCTATTTGGACACAATGATTGTATATGCTTCATGGACAACGTCGTGGCAGAGATTTAAATTCCACACTTTTTGTGTCTAATCATTCTGTTTTCACAAGACGCCTTCAAGGCTACACTGCATATGCAAGCAATTTACCTGCATATTACACTGGAATCATCACTTTTTTTATTTTTTAAATGTGCAGTTAGCTCTGCTGAATACTATAGCTGAAGTCTTATAACCATTTTGATCAAAAACCCCACAAAGAGCACAAAAAAGGAGAGAATTCTTACATTTCAGATTAACAGGGATTCTAAGACAAAAAAATATACACATGAATAAATGAGAAATCACTGTTTTTCTTTCACAGATTTTAATCAAATGTGATCTTTCCTGTACACTTTATTCTCCCCCACTCAAATGTAACCTTTATGTGCTTTTACTTTAAGAACAGCTATTTCATAAATTATCTCAAATAAAGCCATCTCCTCTCTTCATCCATCTGAAAGCATATTTCTAATTCATAGCCATTTGTGAGTTTTTCCACTCACTTCTGTTGAGCTCTGTACATTTTAGTTATGATATCAGTTGAATGCCAAATATTTATATATTATTTCAACATAGCACAGTGACTGTTCATGATATAAACACAGAAAAGGAATTCTATGGACAAAGTCCAATGTATTAGTATTTAACATAGGCCATTACAACCATGGGCAGCTGGTTTAGTTTAGCTGCTTAATCATTCTTTGGGAAGAGTTTATAAACACTGAATGATTATATAACAATATATAACAGAGATTAGTTTGCATTTCTAAGGACGGAGGCTCCAAATTTTTCACATTTAACATGGTATTTGCAAAACTCCTAATAAGATGCACCATCAAAATACGATGTAATTTTGTATTTTCAAAAATTACTTAATATTGTTGCAGCTTTACTTAAAAATAGCCACACCTAGACCATACCACAGCAGTTTACATTTCAGAATGTAAAATTTAGTATAATTATATGGTACACAGTCATATTTATTTTTTTTTTTTTTACAAAATTGAAGCCTGACATGTTACGTTTCGTGGATAACTGAAGAGTTTAACAACAGGGTTCCTTTTCTGTTAACAAAACAGCTCAATCTATACAAACAGTTCCCTTCAGGTCCAAATCCCTGGCCCTGTGCCCACACGCTCTACTAAGCCTGCTGGAAGAGGAGAAGAGGATGCTCAAGGCATTCTTTTGGCTACTTTCTCTAGAGAGTATAAAATAACTTGGATTCTTTCCTGATTTTATCCTTATGACCCCTTTTCTCTCTCAATCCTTGAGAAGTCCGAGTTCTTGTTCTTTTGGCAGCCCCTTCAACGTGTCCTTCGTGTTTCTGTTAGCACCATCCCTCTTTTCTTTGCATTACCTAGACTGCAGCTTATTAACCATTTAGCTACGTTTGGAGAAAAAGATGCACTGACACTTAACGACTCAGTAAGTATCACAGAATCATAATATGTAGGTCTATATAAAAGGTATAATCTAATTAGTCATTTAAATGACTGCACAGGCAGTAGTTAAGAGGTCCTTTCTCAACATTCTTCCCCACTTCAGTCTAAAACACAAAGCTACTAAAAATGCTTTCTTAAAATATTATCAGCATTCCATCCTTCCGCTTCCTCTGGACAATGCTTTTTCTATCAAGGTGCCCACAGCTGCATACAGAAATTGAATTATTTGTTTAGATTTCAAAAGAAATGCTGTGTTCATACATCTCACAACCTGACCAGCTTTCCTGCAGTTAAAAAAATGCAGACACAGCACATCTCTTAATTTCATTTAATTAATATTTTCAACTCCGTTCAGAGTTCAGAACATTACTGTCCTGAACCTTTATTAAATGTTCCACGAGCATGACCATCATGCAAACGGTTTGACCAAAGTTCCACTGGCCTCATTTCACTGTTTTATGTCCCTGCTGTAAAACTCTGTGTTTTTAATTTAATGAATTCCTGAAGGCATATTGCTACTCAGATATGCAAAACTATTATGCAAAACAAGCAGAGAAGACAGCCCAGCAATCTGAGGCTCAAAATGATCAATTTTAATGATTGAAAGGCTGAAAACTCAGAAGAAGGCTTTAAGCTGCCTAATGACTGTGCTTGCCTTTCCACATCCTGAAGCCAGGAATTACAAAGCATCCCTTTACAGTATGAGCAGAATTAAATCCATATTTTGTCCAAATTACAGTATTGGAGCTCACAGATATGACTACTGCATTGCCTGAATATGAATGTTAGAAGTACACGGTCATTTGTACTAGAATTTTGACATGTCCATGTGCCAGTTTTGATGAGATGGTATCAAAAAAACAATTATGATTTTTCTTTTAATTTTATTTCACCAACTGGAAACCAAGAACTGCAGTATAACTATAACCAGCATTAAAAAAAGATAATCATCACCAAAAACTGGGTCTTTAAGGACAGACTTTAAAAAAATAAAGTAGAAGGTAGCCAGCAGACATTTGAAAACCTGGAGTCTCTATTTGTGACCAAAAGTTTACTTCATCCAAATCAGTAATTTTATCCTTAGTACTGGCATAAAACGAATAAAAAGGTACATGTTAACTCATAGTGTAAAATCCTCAACATTTTCTATTATTTCAAACCTATCGTATACAGTGTAGGATACATCTTTTTGTTTAATCTTCTGGGCTACTAACAGTCAAAGTTAAAGCATTCAGACAACATACAGAGAAATTAATACTGAAGATGTGCTTTAAGCTACGGGTCAGTCATGTACTTCCTTTAGATCTGATAGCACTAACACACACTGCAATTTTTCTTGTTAAGCGCTCGAATACCCACATAAAAATCAAACTGTCAACTATATTAGAGGCAAGTAATATCATCCTCTTTATCAACACTTAGGAAAAACAGAAAAAATAATGGAGATAAGATTAAGCTTTGAAAAAAATTAACACTCTACTATAGTGTTGAACCGTTTGCATGCACACTTCACTACCCACATTATCTAAATAAAACTGGAAGACTCGTACGGTGCCTGTGAGGTCAATAACACTGAAGATACCAGAAATAGAAGCTGTGATTAGAAATTACATGGAGCAAGATATCATTTGAAAGGTCTGGCTAATCTTATTCTTCTCTACCGACAATATTTTAATTTCTCTCTCAAGACAAGGGTAACACTATGAAAGAAAATATATTTTTTTTTTTAAAACATGCACATGTGCAGGATGGTATTACTGGCTTTTTTAGATATATATGCACAATATTTATATCCATGTGCCCTATTTTGATTCTGGCTATTTTTCAGTTAATTTAAACATTTATCATATAATAAAATTATTTTTTAACAACTTAAGATTAATCTGCATTTTAGAAAAGAACTTAAAAGCCAGAGGAATCTCAGAGGCACCAAAGCAAGTAAATCTCCAGAGTAAATAAAATCCTCGGTTATAACGGCTACGCAGAATGTTAAAACTTCCCAATCTTTTACTCCCCCGAATCAACATCTGGATATTTAGGATTTCTTCAAAGTTGTCTAACACCTATTAGTTGGGTTGGGATCAGCAGCTCCACTGAGCACACACCACTGACAACCCACAATCCAAGTCTGGAACATTATCTTCAGAGAGAAAGTACATTAGGATATTGTATGAAAAATGGAAATAAATTTGGAAAAAGGAAAAAAAAACAACTGGCTGGTGTATCTGTACAGGCATATCTGTGTGTGCACATCTACAAGTGTACGTTATCGACCATGCACGCCTCCCCACAAAACCAACAAGCTCATAGATTACCTCAGCAACTTTTGGAGGGACTCCATCACCAAGAACTTCCCTGATGAAACACTGTTGAGTCATATAATAGGAGAGTCCACAGGTTCTCTTGAAAGCATCTTTCAGTCGCTTTAGCTCTATGTCTGTAACTGTGTTGAGTGAGGAGAGAGAAGAAAAGAAAAAAAAAAAAAAGATTTGGTCAATAAACACGTCATCGAAATATAATAGCTTAAGGACTCTCCAAATCCTATGCAATTTACATTTACCTTTATAATAAGAAGATAGGAAGAAATTAAATGCATGATTTCACCTAAATAGTGGGAAAACTTGACTACTAGAAAATGAGATCTAATAATCCAATCTTCCCCCAAAAAAAGATACATGAAGTAGGCCTAAAGTTATCATCAATGATTACAACAGTTCACTGCCTAAGTTTTCTCTGACTAAAGTAGCATATCATAATTTGTTCTAAATGAAGCACCATTATTGTCACACAAAAGGAAAATAAGGTAGCTTTATGATAAATTTTACCCTGCATGCAAGCCAGAGAAATGACCTGTAACCAACAACAGTGAATATGATTACGAGCAGCTCCAGCAGTGTGCTGCAAGCAGTTTCATCTAGCAACCCGTCTACTTTTCTGTATATATATAAAAAAAAATTAATCACCACTTACAAACTCATAAGACAGTACAGTGAAGCATGAATTGAACAGGAACACTACTGTTAAACTTTACACTAAATTAAAATCTTCATCTAAGCTTCTCCTGCACAGTCAAAATCTGCTTGCCAGCTCAAACCTGTTCAAATCTGTTCACAATCTGTAAACGTGAAAAATTTGATGACATCCCGTTTATACTTGCGCGGGAGCTTCCTGAAAAGCAGTCGTTGCTTTCAGATTTTACAAGAGTAAAGCAACTTTCTCAAAGCGTTTAAGAAAAGCAGCATCTCGCTGAACAAAAACAAGTCCTGTGTCAAAAAAATCAAGTTGCGGAGAAGAACACACCATGACCTGGATCACCCCTAAGTTACCACGTAGTACAGAAAGAGTTATTTATCATCTCAAAGCCAAAAGAAATGACACGGTGCATGATCGCTGTTTCACTGTATTTATAGTAAGGCATTTTCCTTACCCCGATATAACAAGCCAGACAGAAACAACACCGACATGGCCAAAAGCTTGTCAAGCTTTTTGTCAGCCAAAATAAAACAGAACGCTCAAGAGCTTAATCCAGCCCTCTCTTTAAAACTTCTACAGTTCAATTAATTCATTCATCAAAAGAAAAATCACTACTTAAAAGTAAATCACATTGAAACATTCCGCCCTGATTTTAATCCTAGTCACCATTGAAACAGACGACTGACTTCATTTAACAATCGTGTGTAAAATCAGAAATTGGGTTATGTTTCTTATCAAATTTTATTATAGGTTCTGGGTACTCTTGACCAGAAAGAAAATCAAAGGATAAATGAAATAAATCTGAAGAGTGACCCACACAGCACTGGTGGATTTGGCAAAAGACATACTCAAGTTATCACCATCACATATCTTGTTTTAATAAAACGAGCATACTTTAATTACACGGCAGAAGAATGTTGGTATAATACTGTTACCGGCCTTATATACGGTGATTAAATTTCACTATTTCATAGTAACATCTGTCCACAGAGTCATTTTCTTTCTTTGTGTCTTTACCCGTGATGCTTTAATGAATGCTCAGGCACTGTTAGACACACCAGTTACAGTTTTCTTCCCAAGATTTTCCCTAGCTAACCGAAAACAGACTCTCAGATAGGATATTTCCAACCCGAAGCGACACTCTCCACACTCCCCAGCTCTTCTCAATCACGGAAACAGGAAGCAAAACAAAGATTCTGCAAAGAAACCGATCCTCTGCGCCGCAGCTTTTCCTCCAAACGTGCAAGAGATTAACAGAAGGGTTTCACATCAGAGGGATGCTTCACCTCCTCTCCACCTCTCACCCGCAACGTCACCGCAGCAGATTTTCAGTCAACAGGAACAACTCCCCACCACATGCTTAATGAGTAAAAAAAAGCTTGGGATTGCTAAGGGGACGTTAAAAAAAAAAAAAAAGGGAAGCTACTGGTTTCATTATTTTGGCAAGATAAAGCCAACAACCTAGATCCTAGACAAAAATCTAGCAACAGTTCTTTGAAAATACTTTAAATCAGTCGTGGGGTTTTTTATACGCACGCAGTGCATTCTGGGTTGGGTTTTTTTCCTCCACTCCAGTGAATTTTTTTGACCTCCTCACCACTTAATCCAATCTGCTTTGTGGTCATTTGGCAAAAAAAGTTTATACACAAACAAAGCGTTAATTAATCAGATGCTCACGGCTTTACACATATTATAATGGACTTTCAAGTAATCTAATTATTGCTTACTGCAAAAATAAGGTTGAAACACACAAAATACACACAGCCACTTCATGCAGCCTTGTTGTGCCATTACATTATTGACACTTTCAGGTTTAGTTTCCTGGCTGCATAGAAAATTCAAATAACGTGCATTAAAAATCACGAGGGGAATTTTTTATTTTTTTTTCTTCCAGCATCCATTAGTAACTATGGATTTTGTGTCACTTGATCCAATTCCTTGAAGTTGCTCCCCAGCGTGGCAGCACGGAGGGGAGGAGGGAAGGAGGCTCCGTAAGAACTCGGCGGCACGACGCTGCGCTCCCGCTGCGCCGCCAGCTCTGGGCAGAGCCATTTCTCACAACTCCAGTCACCTCCCAGCTCCTGCCACTGCTCAGCCTGCTGACTGCAAAAGCACTTCTCAACAGGAACACAAGTACAGTCTCACCGCGTTTCACTTGTGCGCTATTTTCTTGTTAGGATTAATTAAAAAAAAAAATACAACCACCTTAGCCATGTAAAACTTCCAATTACTATTTTAATAGAAAATTTTATTTATCCAATAAATGCGAACTGACTATATGTAATAGGCTAGAATATAAAGTGATTTTAGTCAGCCAAGTACTTTCATAATCATTAAATTTACTGGCCATTTCTTTATGAGATTTACCTGTATTAATAGAAATTCAAGTCATTTGTAATCTGACAAGCTTAACTGCAGACCATATTAGTACTCCGGAGATATTTTATGGATCCCCTTACATCCCTAAGTGCACGAAACAAGTTACATGTTTTCTAGGAGTCACAGAAACGCAGCCACCTCTCTGGTGACAGAACCGCACGGAGCGGTACTTCTTGTGCTAAGCTCTGACGTAACAGAGAGCGGTGAATTAATTTAACCTCGGGAGAGTTGCCGTCTGCAGTTTCGCAGGACAGAGGGGGCCTCTACTGTAAGCAAATAAGTCTCACCGTACCGAGCAAAGAGGGCAAGCAGAGGGATGAAACTTCGCCTGACTACATCTTGGGAACACAGAGTACTCCCAGGAGCACCGCAGGCAGCAGGCAGTGGTATTTCCTCGAGCACCTACGACTGCCAAGTGTGTACTTCAGGCAGTCTTCAAGAACGAGAAAATCCCATATGTACATATCTACCATGAAACACAGAAGCCCCTGAACTCCTACTGAAGGCAACGAGAAAGTTGGGAAGAGAACTTGTCAACCACTACTACTGGGATCTTCAGACAGAACTGCCCGTATATAATTTAATAGTAGAGGATCAGTTGATACTGCTAGTCCATGTTACACATCAACAGCAAGTTATTAGTGCTAGAGACCACTTAATATTATTTTTTGCATGCAGAAACCACAAAACAGGTCATAGAATTACAGGAAAGGTAATTACTTCCATTCCTTCCCCAGGACACATTAAAATGACTGATGCTGGCCATTTAAAATCATCTGCAAACCTTTGTAAAAATAATTGCACATTTAGATCCAGGCACATCAAAGTACTACTGAAATGAGCAGAGTATAAATCAAAGATTTTATCAATGTTTACTATGAGCCTGGAAGACAAATAACATATTTGAATACAAAATCCCAACACCAAAGTATCAATTAGTCAACGTAGAGATAGAACAAAATAGCATGTTGGGAGGAAATAAAATTAAGTCTCAAATTGTTGAAAGTAATGTTTCTAGAAGCAATACATCTATTACTATAATAATATTTTTGAAAAATAGAACACTCACATACTCACAAGCTACCTTTTTTCTCTCAATTCCACAAGTCCTACGCAGCAACCATCATAGACCACAGAGATATTTTTAATCCCACCTTTAGGTGTAAATGTAGTTAACAGCCCTCTTTCCTACACCGACTTAAGTTCCTTCATTAAGTATATTCACTTTTTCCAAAGGCACAGTCTTACCAAACACTTTCAGGAGACAGTTCCTACAAACACCTAAGGAAAGCCCATTCACAAGCAGCTTTCATCAGACGCGCAAGGACAGACGCTACGCTATCGGATGCACTGTTGCTGCATTCATAACCCGACGGTGAAAAACAGAACACGTAAGACTTCCCAAAATAAGTTTATGGTAGTCAACACAGCAAAAAAACATCACCACATCTCTCCTACTAGTAACAGGTGGCACAAGCTCAATATTATTGCGGAGAAAGCAACACGGTTGGAACTGCACGCCTAATTCTTTACACCTCAAGACTACAGAAGCTAACTTTTTACCATAAGGTTCTAATTCAAAATACTAAAAACAAGTTTCAGAGTGAAGACTATTATAATTCTTAAAGTATCTCTGCCTGCTTCCAAAAACCACCACTGAAACAACCGGTCTTTTCCACAAAAGGAAGAGTCACAGACTATGTCGTTCTGTCTAGGTAACTTTACTAACACAAACCTCCTCACTGCTACCTTAGCTGGATGGTTTCCAATAAAGTTAGAGATAGTTTAACAGAAGAGTAGCACTGCATCCAACTCTCCGGGGAATATTCGAGCTCCAGTTTGTTTAATAAAGTTTAAATGAAACCATGCAACCTCAGCTAAAAATGTCACTGTAACTTACAGTAATTGTAACAAACCTTCAGCTCAGCCAACCACCAAGGATATTTTTAGTTTAATAGTGTTACTTAAACGTAATGCTGTTTATATGGATTTACGGCTCTACTATCTTCTTAAATTCACAGCTGTCCAGGTAATGATTTATGTGGTGCCTTCCAAAAGGCTCCCGTGCTGGAAACTACCCTCTTGACACTG